GGGGGGGGGGGGGGGGGGTTGGTGGTGGTGATGTCAAGAAGCTGGAGGAGAGCTCCAGGCAACAGGCATCTTAACAACAGGCAAAAGTTTCAACCCACAGACAGTTTGTTCACTTCTCCAACACTGACTCATCCCTGAGGCTGCATCCTCAACATCAGGAAAACCATTCAGCCGCTTTTCTCTAAACTCCTCTTTGTCCAAAACCCTCGAATCTTCCCAAGAGGAAACGCTGCTGGATTAGAGCAGAAAAGGGAGAAACGATAATCCCTCAATTGAATTTCCTCCTGAGTTTTAAAAGTACCTGATTATGTAAAGAGCATCTGTGAGAGCGTGAACCTCCTCTACTGTCACACCGAGACGCACCGAGACGTTTGGGCTTTTGTTCGAACACAAATAACCTGAAAAACATTCGATATTTTCTCTGCACAGACACAAAACTCACATGTCAGAGAGATGACGACGCTGACGTCTGTTTCATTAGCAACTCAAAGGCCTCACTTTGAATCTGTTGTGACTCCTATAAGCCCCTGTGTGTGTGTGTGTGTGTGTGTGTGTGTGTGATGTGTGTGTGTGTGTGTGTGTGTGTGTGTGTGTGTGTGTGTGTGTGTGTGTGGCTTTATAAAAGGTCTTGAGGTCGAACCTGAAGTCAGTTCGTGCATCGTGGTCATTAGAGGAGCTGCTGTCTTGACACACAGACGATGTAAGTACCTTTAACCGTCGTCATTTATCGAAGCTGAACGTTGAATGTTTTCATTTTTTCAAAAGGTTTTATTTTGCTCTTTATTTTACTTATTTATTATTTTATTTGAGATGTTTTCTTCTGTTTAAAGTTATTTGTGTAAATGTGGTGATTTGTGTTCAAACAGCAGTGAGGTTGGATTTATTAATTTGTAAAATGTTGGTTTGTTGGATTTGCATGAATTTTTGAAAAATACAAAATTAAGGAGAAGAAGAAAAGATTCTACAGTTGTTCATGTAGCTGTTAAAAGATTTTAAAGAGTCATTACTTAACAAAGCTAAAAGTGAAATATGGGATTTTCACAATTAATTTTCATGTCAGATTCTTATTCTATTCTTATTTTACACTATTTCAACATGTTTTCTTCTATTTCAAGTGACATCTGTTAATGTGTTGATTTATTTAAAATGTCTAAGAACGGAGCCACAAAGCTTAAAGATGAATCTGATGAGAAGTTCATCTTCAAAGTTATATTTATGTGAATCCATGACAAATTTCACTTCTTCAAACTTTGAATTCAAACTGGTCACAACCCCGAAATAAATAAACTGACAATCGGTCGTTCTACATTTGAAGAGGTCACAAGTTAAAATTGTTGTCAACTAGTAAATGGACGACGCTTCTTGTTGTTTCTTCTTTTCATGACACGTCGTGATGTGGGTTTCTTGTTGTTGTGCTGCAGAACGTGAAGATGTCCCACAGATCTGTGCAGTGGCTCGTCGTCATGCTGCTCGTCGTCTTCACAGCAGCACAGTGTGAACAGAACGAGAGGTACATCAGCTTTACATGCACAAACTACAGATCAATCATAAATAAATAGATTCATATTGATGAGACTGGAGAATAAACATAGAATAAAAAAGAATAAACTGCTATTTATTGTGTGTGATTTGATGAGTTGACACAAAATGAGCTCAATATTCACAGTTGTGAGTCACGATCACTGACAAAGGGAGAATTTAAAAAGAAGGAGAATATTTAAAGAGCATAAGATGAAGAACTCCGCTTGAAATAATCTTTTGAAGACACAAAGATCCAGAATCACAAAATAATTCCACACATTTCCCTTCCTGAAAAAAGAAAAGACACATTCATACATACATTTAGTCTCAGTCTTTGCTTCCACATGTTTCACATCTTGATCGTTGGATGTTGATTGAGTTGTGAACTGAGGATGAACTGATCCTGACTGACTGATCTCTCCTCCGTCTCCCTGCAGCCGCCGAGCTGTGAGCGAACACCAGCTGTTGCACGACCGTGGCCGAAACATCCAGAGTCTGAAGAGGCTCATCTGGCTGTCCAGCGCCATCGAGGGGCTGCACACTGCCCAGACCCGCTCCGCCGCTCTCAGCCAAGCAAAGGTCCTGGACCTGGATCTGAACCCGGCGATGGTCCCTGATGCTCCGGGCCCCCGACCCGCCCGGGTGCAGAGCCTCCTGAGAGACTTCTTCAACAACCCCTACCTGACTCAGCTGTCGGACACAGAGGCCTGACTCTGTGAAGAAGTCCGCAGACACATAAATATTTATTGTCTCCATCATTTGAACAATGAAACACATAAAGCACAATGATACATAAACGACACACATTTGCTGCAGATGCATCCAAATGTTGCAAGAAATTAAAGTTTTAGTCGAGAGAGTCTTTGAGTTAAAGCTGCATGAAAGTCTGTTGATGTGCAGAGTCGCACAAATGTCTCAATGTTCAGTCATAGTTACATCAAGGACTCGCTACAAGCGAAAAATAAAAGGTCTTTAAGGAGCAGTCCTCGGAACCGAGCACGAAAGGAACAACATAAAGTCAAACTTACCCAGATTTTAATCTGTTTGCTTTATCTTCATTATTCTCAACCAAAGACAAAGTCAAACATGTTTGTTTGCAGATCAACCTCCTCCAGCACTTTGTCCTCACAGTGTTCTCTCCACAACACAACAACTGTTCAACTGAACCTCCAGACTGAATGAAACTAATGATCTCACCTGTCTGATTGATTCTCTGTGAAGAGACATGTGGCTGTACAGCAAAGATTTGAGTGGCGGTGATTTTATCTCGTGAACATTTCTATTAAACTCTGTGGCTGCACGGCTGTGGTCTGTGTTTGTGCATCAAACCTCTGTCTGAACTATGTTTGTTCACCGGCCGAGCGTTTGCTAACGTGACGCTGACTTTACACAACAGAGCTTTCAAGTTGCACATTTCTCCTTGAGATGAAGATACTGAAGTGTCGTACACGAGGCTGAAGATGCAAAACAAAAGAGACGTGTAAGAGGCCCTTATTGTTTTCATGTATATTGTTTATTACATTATTTTATTTCTGTGAGCCAATTAATTAATCAACACAAATCAAATTTAGTATAATAGGTTTATATTATTTCCTGACATCCACATTAATGTATTTAAATTATCTAATGAAACGAGTCAGTTTCCACTGTATTTGTTTTGGAAAGGTCACAGCCTGCAGCTGACCTGAGGTGTGCCCTCTGCTCGGTCTGCCCGCCTGAAAGACTGAACTCAGGGCATACGACAAGCGAAGTCTCGCGATATTTCCTTAGCGGCTAACGTGAACTAGCTCCCCGTGTCAACCACCGTGACACCGGTCGTGGATCCTCCGGATGAGCCTTCGGTATTTTGTCTCGATTCACACCGGGGACACCAGACGCCAAGCACCGGCAGAGAGGCGCTGTCTGTGGGCTCCACGCGCCGCCACCGCCCCTCGGACTGTCCGCGGCTCTCGTCCTCTCGGCGGTCAGGTCAGTCGATGCTACACCCGTCAGTTAGCTTGTCAGGCTAGTCCGGGCTAACGCGCAAGGCAGGCGTCGAGTTAGTTTCGTTTCGAGCGTGTCCGCGAGGTTTCCGTCCACCCGAAGCCGGAGACGTGAGAGGAAACCGACGGAAGAAGCTAACACGGCTAATGATTGGCGGCAGCGGTCAGTCAGTGGGAATGGGAAGCTGGCTAACGAGCAGCTAAGCTAGTTAGCAAGCCGCGGCTCGGTGGCCAGCAGTCTGTGACACTGACAGTGTTTCACAACATGTTGTTAGCGGAGCTGCACGGGGACGTGCGTTGCATGTGACGTGTCAGCCGCCGACCCTCGTCCGCAGATGGAACATGTCAGACATGCGTGTTGCTCCCGTGTTCCGCAGTAACACACGCTCTTCGTCATGTGTCCACAACAACACATGTGACGACAACACGTGTGACGGTTCAGAGCTGGTTCTGTTCGGAGCCCGAGCTGCTGCTCTGTGACACGGACTCTGGTCTGACATGTTCAGAAACACCTGCAGCTTCAGAGAACGAGCTGAGGACTCGTGCTCAGGTTTTATTTTATATACAAGTAACTTAACGTTTCTATAAATCATAGAAACGTTAAGTTACTAAAGATCTCAATGTTTTTATTTTATCACCTGTTCTGTTGGATGTCAATCAGTTTCACTTTCACTTGCAGCAACTAGGATGTTTCACTTGACATGTTTCATCTGTTAATCAATCTACGTGCAGGTAACTTCATTTTAATGAATGCGATTATCAGGAATTGTTGTTATTCACTGCTGGTGAGTGCAGGAGAATATGTTAAATAATAATTCTAGGCGTTTCCATTTGAAGTATGTGGCTGTGAATCAAATATTGAAATGATTTTTCACACATGTGTTTGTTGGTTGGTTGGTTGGTTTGTAAGTAAGATCTCACGAGAACTTCACTTTCTTTAACATTGTGAGATAGAGCGTCGTGTTCAAGAGAGATTATTCCTGAATCTTGCTGTAAGAGAATCAGGCATATTTAGAGTACTTATATTTATGAGTGTGTACAAATTAGTCAACTTTATAGATTCAAATGTGTTTCTATTATATATCTTAAAACTTACTGTCAGCATAAGGTTTAGACTTGATAGACTCTGCTCAACCTCAGCATAAACAAAATGCTCAAGTTGTCTTCCAGCAGAATCACTTGTGTTTGGTGCAGGTTTGGTTCTGTGCTTAAACATGCTGTGTAAAACAGGTATTGTGATGGAACAGGATAGTCTTGTGATGGGTGTTTTTTGCTCGTAGGTATCATCCAGCATCATCCAGCCCCACTGTGGATCTTTAGCCCCATCCATCAGGACAGTGGCAGAGCCGGAGCCGGAGCCATCAGGGACCAGACCAGCAGGCAGCAGGGCTCCATGAGCACCACGGGGCAGCAGCAAGGGGGGGGCCTGCGTTCTCGCCGAAGCCTTGGCCGGGACAAGGACCCTGGGCAGGGCGTTGGCATGGAGGCTGCCTGCTGGCTTGCCCCTGGAGTTCTGCGCAGGCTGATTGAGCTGCCCTCGCCCCCCCTGTCCCGACACCAGCTCAAGAGACTGGAGGAGCACAGGTAAGTCTGTGTAGTCCTGTTGTTTAGTATCGTGATACGTTTGGAACTAAAGATGGACGGACCAGTCTGATGTGGGTTGAATATTTGTTGAGCCCAATGCTCCTGGGATGAAAGATGTGTTGACAGTATGACATCATCACCAGTAGTTACGGACCTTTTCAGGTGGTGAGTTTGAGTCATGAAGTCTTCATGTGGCTGATGTCTGTCCCTGCAGGTACAGCAGTGCAGGACGCTCCCTGCTGGAGCCTCTGATGCAGTGTTACTGGGAATGGCTGGTGGGACGTGTCCCGTCCTGGATCGCCCCAAACTTAATCACCATCATCGGCCTCGCCACCAATGTCTTCACCACCCTCGTGCTCGTCTACTACTGCCCAACTGCCACTGAGCAGGTGAGGGCACAACCCTACACTGCACACTTTACAATATCTATCCCACCAGCTAGAATCCATCCATTAATCCCTGTTTTTTTATTTTAAATTATTCAGATAAATCTCCACCTACTGTTTCATAATAAAATGTCACCGGAACAAGATCATCTTCAGCTGCTGGAGATGAATAAAAATATTGTTGACTGATGAATGCATCTCGTGTCTGTTGTCACGCTGACTGAATTAATATAGTTACATGTACATTACACTGAAGTGTTGGGTTTCCACTGACAGCAAATTAAAATGGAGGCTGCTGATAATTAATTAATTGATCCAACTAACCTAAACACATTTCTGAAGTGTACCACTGAACGGACACTCAGCAAACTGATCATTTCATTCAGATGTATGTATGTGTGAGGCAGAGTGACCCCGGCTCCATATGAATGTGTGTGTGTTGTTTCAGGCTCCTCTCTGGGCGTACCTGCTGTGTGCCGTGGGTCTGTTTATCTACCAGTCATTGGACGCCATTGACGGGAAACAGGCCAGACGCACTAATAGCAGCTCTCCGCTGGGTGAGCTGTTTGACCACGGCTGCGACTCCCTCTCCACTGGTCAGTCTGTTTCCTGTTAAGCTGTTTGTCAGTAAACCTGGAGCTCTGTTTAAACTCTGTCGTTGTCGTCCCCACAGTGTTTGTGGTGCTGGGAACCAGTATAGCAGTGCAAATGGGCACCAACCCGGACTGGATGTTCTTCTGCTGCTTCGCTGGGATGTTTATGTTCTACTGTGCACACTGGCAAACATACGTCTCAGGAACGCTGCGGTTTGGCATGTGAGTTGCTTGATTTGATCTGTGAAGTTCCCTCCTCTCATGGATTAGAGTTCGTCCTTAGTGATATGTTTTCATAGACTGTATATAAAGATGGACAACAGGACAGCTCCCAAAGTCTAATCAGGTCATCCTTGAGTGTTGGTGCCAGATGTAATTAAATTCTCTACGGTCGCTCCTGATGTATCATGTTCTCGACCTTTCAGTCTGTCCCTCAGTCTAAGTAAACATTGGTACCAAATTTGAAGAACTTCCCTCAAAGTGTACTTGAGATATCGTGTTGCCGACCTGGAGGCATTAAAAGATTAATAGCTTTACCTGAATATACACTGAACTATGGTACTAATACACTAGTGTGTTAGTGGTGAAGTTCATATCATTAAAGATGAATGAAAAAACAGATCAGCTTGTTTTATTCTAATGGATTTTATCAGTTCCATGTGGTGTAAATGTTGATGTGTGTGGATTTGACATAACAGAGATGCAGATCTGTCTCACTGGATCACAGATGCTCACAGCCTCTGTGGGTCCGTGCCTGTGGAACATGATGGTAAACCTCTGCTGCATGGCTGCCGACTGCCTGCCTCCACAATCACCTCTGACCTCCACTGAGGCACATGGAGAATTTAAATTCAGTCTGTTTCAGATTTCAGATGTTCAGTAACATCATCTGAAGGAAGCTGAATTTTCCAAACGCACCAGTGCAATTTAAGACTCTGAGCTGGGATGTGACTTTTCTTGACATTTATAAATTAGACCCATGTCACTGAGACCAGACTCTATCACACACACACACACACACACACACACACACACACACACACACACACACATAACCAGACCAGGCTATGTTATTCAGTTTAGCCTCTCTTAGCTTAGCATAAAGACTAGAAACGGATAGCCTGGCTCTGTCCAGAGTTCAGAAATACACCTGCTTCTCTCTGACGCTCAGTAATTCACACATTGTAGGTCACCAGTTGCTTCACCAATGTCCCAATGTATGTTTGTTTGTAAGCAAGATCACACAAAGACAACTGGATGGATTACTATGAAACCCGGTGGGAGGATGCGGTATGTTGTCAGGAAAGAATCCATGAAATCAAAAACATTAGCTCTCTGGTGGATGTAGCATTGTGTGGTTCTAAATGTGGAGCTTCACTTAGAGACAGTTGGCTTCTTGTGCTGTTAAAGTTTGGTTTTCTTAAGATGAGCCAGTGGAATGTGACTGATGTCACCTGTTCAACCTCCGAGGTTAACCTGTGTTGTGCGGAAGAACACAAACACAGCAGCGTCCCATCAGCCCCTTGTGCAGCAGTGTGTTGTGGAACAAGGCTGCAGGACGGCCGTGGGCTTGTCGTTGTCACTAATCTTTATTATAAATGTTCTGTTCTCCCCCTCTCGCTCAGCATTGATGTGACTGAGGTGCAACTCTTCATAATAACCATGTATTTGCTGGCCGCCGTGGGAGGATCTGCTTTATGGCAGTCACTGGTAACTAATTCCTACAGATTAAAGAGAATGATGCTGTATTAATGATATTCTCATAAAATTATGATACAGCTAGAACATTGTTTTTGACTGTTTTACTTAAACTGTTACTAGAAACACAAAGAATGTCAGTGAACGTCTCCAACATTACTCACGATGCTTTCATTGTGGGTGTAAAGCTGCTGAACGTACTCACAGATTAAATCACCAGCAGGAACGTTCACTATATGATCGACAAAACTTCTGCACTGTTTTATCATTTCCTGATTTTTGTGTTTTAATGTCCCGTTTCCCAGATTCCGATCCTAAACATCCAGATGAAAATGATTCCTGCCATCTGCACTTTTTTAGGAGCCATCTTCTCCTGCACCAATTACTTCAGAGTTATTTTTACAGGAGGTGTCGGTAAAAACGGTTCCACAATAGCAGTAAGTCCAGAAACCAGAGATTTCTTTCCTCTTAACATGTAGTGATCATGTCGAAGCGGTGGAGTTAAGTTAAGTGTTACATCAGTGTTTGTTCTGCAGATGATGTCAGAGCAGCTTCTCTGGTTTTCCAGCCTCCTGACAGTCTCTGTCTTTATTGTCTTTTTCTTGTGTCTGTCCTCAGGGAACCAGTGTCCTCTCTCCAGTCTTACATATTGGTTCCGTGATAATTTTGGCGGTGATGATATACAAGAAATCTGCCGTCCAGCTCTTCGAGAAACATCCCTGTCTTTATATCCTGGCGTTCGGTTTTGTCTCGGCCAAAATCACCAATAAATTAGTTGTAAGTCAAACACGCTTTTTTTTTTAATGAGAGTGAGTTGTCTCTGATGTGCAAATGACGACAACATTCAGTTAAAATGGTAATTTTACTGAGGTCTTTTAACTTAAGCTAAACAAACAAAAACCTTCTGACCTTAGTGAGGTCACATTGACGTTCATAGAAAGAGACTGGTGGTACGTAGCTGGTTAAGAAAGTAAAACATCTGGAATGAGTCTTCTCTTAATCATCAACATTTAAAACAGCACAGATGTGTAAAACTGGAGCTCGACGTCCCTTCACACAACTTGAGTTATTTCCACTCAGCAGGGGAAAGCTGGCAGAGTTGTGTTTGCAGCTGACTGTGGTTTGTCTGTCCACAGGTAGCACATATGACAAAAAGTGAGATGCACCTTCACGACTTAGCCTTCCTGGGGCCAGGCCTGCTGTTCCTGGATCAGTATTTCAATAGTTTTATTGACGAGTACCTGGTGTTGTGGATTGCTTTGGTAAGTTCACACGAGGCTTCAGATAAAAGTTCTCAGTCATGGTTATGTTTTACGTAACAAAGGTCAAATAGAGTCAGTTAAGGTCGTGTTTACACTTTTATTAGGATATTTTCTATTTGTTGTGAAAAGCTTCTGGTTCTCTGCTGTAAACGAGTGACGGTTCTCTCTCTCTCTCTCTCTCTCTCTCTCTCTCTCTCTCTCTCTCTCTCTCTCCAACAGTTCATTTCCTTCTTCGACTTGGTGCGTTACTGTGTCAGTGTTTGCAACCAGATTGCCTGCCATCTTCACATTTTCGTTTTCAAAATCAAGCCTTGCTCAGTGCTCAGCTCAGCTCCTCACTGAGGACACGCCGGCCATTAACTGACTCTGTCCCCGCCCCCCCGCCGTTAGTCGCACTCATCTTTTCTTCCCTCTGTTATCCACATAGAGATACAGAGGACGATTTGTTGTGTACAGTAAGTGCTTCTGCCAACTGAATGTGTGGACAAATAATATATATTAAGATACTGGAGTATTACTGTTATTGTTTCTTTTTCTTTTCCACCAGTGCAGAATTGAATTCGTATCTTCTTCTGCCCCAGTAACGATAAATCTCCTTCTGACAAACTCATGGTTTCACAGAGCAAATACTTCAGGAGAGTACAGGTGCTACTCATCGTGTCCGAGGAGAGAAACTTATGTGTGTTGTAACTGTTCATGTGCAAGAAAATGTATAGGAAATGAATCAGACTCTTTGCTTTTCATTATAATTTTTTGTAATATTTGCATAACTTTACCTTTTTGCTATTGTAAATACCAAACTGTTACTCTTTCTGTGCTTCTCTTTTAATTTAAAAGTCCTGCTTTGGAACATTTATAAAACTTTCTCTCATGTATATGATTTTAAAGCAACTTCATCTCCTGCACATCCCAGGATGCAACGCGACTGTTTCACATCAGTAGAACGTGGTTTTTGGAGGAAACTTAATTTTTCTTAAACATTTCAGCACGTGGGATTCACCTGAAACCAGGGAGCCATTTTGTGTTTATTTATTATTATAGGTCATATTTTCTTAAATGCTTTATTCGGTTAAGGCTTCTTCTCTGTTATTTGTTTTATTGTAAATATATGAATATTCACTGTGCGCACATGTAAGAATGTCTTTAGTTGCTAACATTCAGAGTTTCACAAATGTAAGTGAACCACTGAGCTCACATGTTGAAGTTTGTGTTCAGATTTTCTCACATTTTTCAGTAATAAGATCAATATATGTTAAAGTTGCTGCTTTGAATCAGTGTTTCCTTTGATTTAGTTTCACTCTGCTGCTGCTGCTGTTACCGATCTCTCCACTGTTCCTCTGCTCTCTGTCACTCCCTCATCTCAACCTGGTGTTTTAGGTTTTTTAATCGTCACTCTTCTCAGCAAATTCCATGAAAACGCAAAGACTTTGACCTGAGTCTGATTTCTCACAGTCTGTGGCACTCGGCTCAGAGGTAACATGTTCCCATGTGTTCGTTGACTATGTTCATCTGAGGGACAGGATGTTTTTGGTTGATCGTCTTTTCATGGGATTTGCTGATGATTTAAAATTACAAGATAATCTTTAAACTGAACGACCACTTTGCTGCCGTGAGTTATTCATGTGAATGTTTCACTCCTTCCCGTGTTTTGACTGATTATTCTACTTCACTGAACCACTTTATTTTCTTGTTTTATGTGATCGGCACAAAGTTTCCCCCACAAACCACAACTGCTGAGGCTGAACACGTGGCCTGACTGAGCAGGAGATGAGGTCACATGACGACATCACAGTTTTTAAGGTGGTGACTGAGGAGAATCGGATCAAACTTTGTTCCTGTTAATAAAAACCTGTTTATTTGACATGTGGCTGCTGCTCGTCTCTGAGGTGTTCACCGTCACTGCTCCTGAACATAATCTGTCTGTTGTATTTGGATTTTATTGAACTTTTCCATCTGCTGATCTGAGTCTCTATGATTTATTTAAAGCCTTCATCTAACATCTATAATATTTAATCAGACTGTATTTAAGGAAAGCAATGTCATTTAATCTATTTTTGATAAATTTCAGCTGCACCCTGGATCAGATAATATCATTTATCAATATTATTATATCATGTATTATCTCAGCCCTGGTTTATAGAGTCAGTATTATTTTAGAGAGTAAAATAAACCTTTAGAAGGATTAATTTACTTCATAATTGTTATGTGTGATTTTAGAATTTGGGGAGATGCATAGAATAATAGAAGGTACGGTGGCTGAGAGAGGGCGAATAGAAAAAACATGCAAATCCAGGAAAACCTCTTAACCTGAAGTCAGCTGCTCGTCAGTGGTGATGACAGAATTGAACTACAGCAGCTTCATCACCTTTGTCCTTTCGCTATTTGCAGCGCGTGTCTGTGTTGGTGTCAGCGCACATGTCGTCAAATCGACGACGTTGTTGTCTTAGTTTGCGCATGTTCGTTGTATTTGCGTGTGTTTTTCTTGCGGTGATTTGCGTCGCGTTCGGCTCTGTCGGCCACCGTAGATCTGCCTGTGAGTCCCGGTGCAGGGCACAGGAGCCCTTGTGTCCTGTCACTGAGCCCTCTGTCGTGTTTGACTCAATAAACATCGAGTCTGTGAACTTTCAGACGTCACGTGCTCAAACTAGGAAACTCTCAGAATCACTTTGTGACTTTGATCGTCGCGGATTCTGGTTTGAGGTTCGGGGACTCGTGTGGTCGCAGGAGGATCGTTGTCGTCACTGGACTCGAGTAACGTGAGTCTCATTATGTTCGTGTTCATGTGACGCGTCATGTTTTATCTCGTTTCTTCAGTCCAGCAGCAGATGAGCTTAAAACTCTAGAAACTTTATTTATAACTCCGGTGTAGCTCGCTAACGTTATCCAGCTAGCGGATGTTCATTTGCATAGTGTTTGCTAACCACTTAGCTTAATGCTACTGTATATTAGTCGGACGTGTGTGAATGTGCGTCCACTGTTAGCCGATACATGTGTCCTGTAGTGTTTGATATTTTCAGTGCAAGTAAACGCGGTACTTTATGTTATGTGATGCTTAGTGTTGGTCAAAAGCGTAAAATTGACAGGTTTTTAAATGGAGTTTGGTTTCAGTGAGGACCACTGACTTCTTTACTTTCATTTCCGCACTGAGATCACAGGGACTTTGCTGATCTGTGTCCTTTGATGACTCCGTTACACAGGAAGTCGACGATAAATATTGTCACATTATCACACTCCAATTCAATAAAACAATATTTGACCAATTCTTAACATTTTGACTTTGTATATTTTTTTAATATTTCATCCAAAGAAACTCAAAAGTACAAACAAGTACACATTCATGCAAATAATAGAAAACAAGATAAAGAATAATAAATGTCATGTTCTGTAGGAGAGAATGCAGATGTTGATTACAGCAGTGTGTTGTATATGTGTAATGAGTGTGTGTCACAGTGTCAGTGTCAGTGTGTGTATCACTCTTTGTGTGTTGTGTACAGGGCGGAGTGAACCAGCAACACACACACACACACACACGGTGGAGAGGCAATGTGGTGGTTCCAGCAGGGTCTGTGCTTCCTGCCCGCCGCTCTGGTCGTCTGGACGTCGGCGTCCTTCGTCTTTGCGTATATCACAGCGGTGGTGCTGAGACATGTGGATCCTCTTGTGCCGTACATCAGGTGCGAGTCTGGACGACGCCTCACCTCCGTTATATCTCTCAGTCATGAAAAGACTTGAAGCATATTGTATTTGATTCCCTCTAAAGGGCCTTAGAACAAATGAAAGAGTCTGATGTTAAGTTTGAAAAAGTTTCAGATCTTTTTGTTTCTACTCTTTTTTCCCTGTTGAACTCAATAAGTCAAACTTCTTCTGTGTTGCAGCGACACAGGAACGATGGCACCAGAGAGGTGTGTGTTCGGCATCATGCTGGATGTGTCGGCCTTTTTAGGTAACATATATATATTCCCTTGTCTTGTCCATATCATCTATCAGCACTGATCAATAAGTATATATTGTTAGAAATGTATTTAAACCGATGATGTGTTTGCAGGTATGGCCACGGTCTACGTGCGTTACAAACAGGTGGAGGCTCTGACAGGTGAGGACAAGCTAACGCTCCACAGATTCAACCGCTTGGCGCTGCTGCTCGGCTGGATCAGCTCCCTCGGGATGTGCGTGGTCGCCAACTTCCAGGTGAGTGCTGCTGATCCTGGATCAGTTCACATTTGTGCAAGGTCTGCAGTAAATTTAAGTGTGTGTGTGTGTGTGTGTGTGTGTGTGTGTGTGTCGGAGCAGAAGACCACACTGTTCTCCATGCACCTGTTGGGTGCGGTGCTCACCTTCGGGGTCGGGGCTCTCTACATCCTGGTCCAGATGCTGCTGTCGCTCAAGATGCAACCTCACGTCCACAGCAGGAGCATTTACCTGATCCGCCTCGGCATCGGAGTCTGGACCCTGAGCAGCATCATCTCCAGTATCCTTTAACACAGAGTCCAGCAGAGTTAGTCGACTTGAGTCAGTAAGAGCAGAGTTGTTTTGATCCGAACCACTGAGGATGATTTTAGTGAAGGTGTTTAGAGACACACTCCTCTCAGATCTTCTCTGAACACATTTTTAAAATAATGATTTGTGATCTTTAACAGTTTGTCAGTGTTTGTATCATCAGTCATCTTGTACAGCAGTTTACCAGGAGTGGACTTACCTCACAAAATGCACTGGACTCCTGGAGAGAAGGTCAGTAGTCCTCTTTGTGTGTGTTGACCTTTAGAGGAGGATGTAATTTTCATATCGTGGTGCCACTTCCAATAGGATCATATTAGACCAGATGCATCAAAGTCTGTGACTAACTTTTAGTTCTTAGGATAGATACGCAACTTTTTTCTAATATTTAAACATTTGGTTTGAATTTTTCCAGGGTTACACGGCTCATCTCATCAGCACCGTGTCTGAGTGGTCTCTGGCCTTTTCCTTCATCAGCTTCTTCCTCACCTACATCAGAGATTTTCAGGTATTTAGTCTCATCTTCTCACAGCTTCAGTAGATGACTTTGTTTAATCCATCCAAAGATTTTACAAATCTCAAGTTGTGGTTTTATGGGGGGGTTTGTTTTGGCGGACTATTTCTCGGCTGGGTGCAGGGACTTCCTAGAATTACCATGAGGGTTTCAGGCAGGAACTCGTTGCACAAATATATTTTTTAGTACAGAGTAAATAAAACTGTTAAAGTTTTAAAAGATGCTGGTAGGTGTATTTTTAAACTTTCGATGAATCCAGGTTAACTGCTTCAAGACTCTATGCTAAGCTAGTCTAACCACGCCCAGTTTCATATTATACAGACACAAGTGTGGTTGATTGAACAATCTACCTTTTGCTTTATGATCAAAGATCTGGATTCAGATACTACTGACAAACATTTCCTTTTTTGTTTTAATGTAGAAAATTAGCTTGCGAGCGGAGGTAGATTTGAAGAGCAGCCACCTGTACGACTCTCCACATGGAAGCATCGCGGGTTCACATCATCACAAACGTGAAGCCTCTGAGTCGTCTCCGCTGCTGGCAGGAGGAACGTGACCCACAGAAGGGCGTCTGACCAAAATATGCTTTTTCTAATCACGTTTAACAATTTCTTATAGAGCGCTTCTAAAAGCCGTGGTGGCTCTTAAAGGGTCACTTCACCCAAACATATTTCCTGTCCTTCCTCTAATGGGATCCATCAGTAGAGATACCAAGCAGTGGAATTTTGTATATTGTTTTTTTATATCTGAAATGTGAGCCAATGGATTTATAAACTGTAAGCGGGAAACACTCCAGTCCGCCATGTTCAACTTACAGCATCTTAATGATTTTTTTACAGTCTGTGATTCTAATTCCTTGTTTTGAGGAGAGTATTAATATTTACAGCTCTTTTATTGAAGTTGGGGGAGAATCACTGACAATAACATTTCTCCCTGCTGGAGATTCAGGAGCTTAATTAACCTGAGTTAGTGCTAACCTGTAATGCTAATCTAACAGTTTATCATCGATAAATACATTTTAAAAGTTATGTATTAATTTTTTCACTAAATATTAAAACAAATATACAACAAAAATAAATGTGAGCTTTACATGTGTGAACAAGAGCTGATCGAGCAACACATCCTATTTTTATAATGCTGCAAACTTAGCTCTGTGGAATTCACTGAATCTTTCAGTCACAAGCTGAACTGATTGTACTTCACATTGATCTGTTAACTGTTTTATCTTCAGTGCACCTTTAACCTGTTTCCATGTAAACCAGGTTTGATATTATGTGATTTCACTTGTTTAGAGAAACCGAGTCATTCCTGAGAAGTAAATGGGAAACACTTGTAATGCTAATTAGCATTAGCACAGTATAAAAGCATTTTGACATAAACGTGTCTAAAGACAAACTGTTGATTATTGTAAATTGTCTGTCAACAATTATAACTTCTGTCAAGAAACTTCAGTAATTACATCTATTTTGAAATCTTGTCATTCATTCTCTGTTTATACAGCAGCCTCCGCTCCCACAGGAGGAGATGTTGGAATTGTTGGTAAAAACATGAATGAAGATTTATATCCACTTCAAACTACATCATTTGTTTAAACCCTTTAGCTGCTGCTTGTAGTTGATGATAGAATCTAAGTGCTGCCTGTTAACTTGGGTTCATGGTGTTCTTTGTATCATGGAGGTTGTGTTTTGTTGTTCAGTAAAACAACCACATTTTCAAACACACATGTATCACACTGTTACACAGACGGAAGCAAAAACAGCAACTTTTAATTTTCTCATAAAACTTTGACATTTCTATGCAAAGCCAACGGTTTTAAAGATTCACCCCCCGATTTGTTTTTAGAAGTGGCGTTTGGAAACTTGAACAAAACGAGGGTGTGTGTCTTTAAAACACAGAAATTCAAATTTCACAGGCATTTACTTTGGCAAACTGATTTTACAATAGACTTCTGTCCACACCATGAAAAACCCCGATCATGCACAAAATATTTCTTCTACTTCTTCATGGACTGTTTTCTCAGAATCTGCTGGAGATGATCTGTTAACCTCTGTCAGTACTGATAATCACAAGTGATAATCCAAAGTTAAATAATATTAATTATAGTTAATGGCTTCAACATATATACAATCATAACAATAAATTATTACACTGAAAGTAGATCAGCAGCTTTGTCCATAAAATCTCAAAATTAAAAACATCTTAAGCAGATAAACAACATGTGGGAGGAAACTAAACTATAAAATATTTCCGGGTTTGTGATGATGTGTTTGAGTTTGAGCAGTAAGTTGTTGTTAAAGGTTCAGTTCACCCACATAACAGAAAAAAACTCCTCCAGTGGTGTTATGAGTCTGAATATCGTAGTTTTATTTGTTTTTATGAGACAAATTAGTCTTTTAATGGCTAATTGATTAATAATTGAAGCTCTATATTTAACAACTACAATAGGAGCTTGATTAGTGATTTCTCTGTGGAAAATTTTAAATTTAAAAGTTATTTTTCCCTAAATTAAAGATTGTCAGGAAGCAACAAACTCAACATTTCTGTTTTTGCAAAGAAGTAATCAAAGAAGATTTGATTATATTTGCTTCAAACTTATCTAATAATAATTTGTCAACTGCAACAGGCCTGGGATTAATTTAGATTTAGCAGCAGATTAAAATCAAACTACTCATAAGAAAAACCAGTTAAAGAGCAGAAGGTGTGTCTCAGAACTTCAGCAGGAAGTGAACATTCAAACCCGGCTCTTAATGTTAGGATCGTGTCATCCAAATAAAAACAGCTTTTCTGGGTTCTGAGACGTTTACGATGGTTTAGAAAGTAGAAATACTAACATTTTGTTTGCAGGTCGGGTCCTGTGGAAAACCTTTTGGAGCTCCAGGGGACTTTCTCCATTGCAGCAATTAGTCGTATCCAGCTGTTTTAAGATGTCATTAAGAAATTCCTGATGCCCACATCTATCAATGATAAATGATAAACATGATGCTCGGACTAATTCTATTAAATTATTAGAGGCTAGGGACAAACAGTTGGGCTGTGGGTTCTTAACTTCCTGAATAAAATCAATTAGAATATGCACGATGGAAACAGCTGCATTGACTGATATTCAAACTGAACATGTTAGTCTGACATGGTGTTTGGGAAAAGTGATTATTTCGTAACCGTCCAGACGACATAGTTTTCAGACATCAGGCTGTGGAAACCGTAGTCAGGCACAATTAACGTCTGTCGCATCAGTCACGGACATGTGTCCATTCAGGAAGTGTTAGTTCCAACAACCTGCGCAGCTGCAAAGATTAACAGACAAAAAGATGGCATCCACATTCTCAGTCACACTTACAAAGCTGAGATTGATTCTGATATTTTAACTGGAAACAGATCAGAGATGTGGGAGGTGATTTAAAGGTGATCCACTACTTTCTGAAAAAGAGAAACACCTATTATTTTTAGTTCTGCTTGAAGCTATGGCACAAGCACATGCAGAACACCAGAGCTGCTAATGCAGAGAGTTTACTAACGTGTTGTTCACAAGGACAAAGTTATGAAGTCAGATTCCGACCTCCGCTCTTTAAACATGTAGGAAATCCAGTTTTTCCTAAATGAAGTCATGTGAGCAGAGGTTTCCAGTTCTCTGAGGAGTCCACCCAGGTTTACTAGACGTGTAAAAGACAGGAGGGTTATAAGGCATCAGTGGACGGGGCCACACGGAGGCCGACGCTCTCCGAAACACCTTTGCTGGAAGTCTTAAACGTCCACAGCTGATCTGCGTGTTCCCAGTCCTCAACTCTGTCCATCGCTTGGCTCCACCTGAACGTTAAAAGGCAGATCCGTCACAGATGATGTTCTGGCCTCGACCGGGGAAAAGCTCCATCTGCCAGTAACGAGGGTCAGCGTACACTGCACAGGTGAAAGGTCAGAGGGAACAACTGTCAGAGCAGGCAGCTTCAGCAGCTACATGAAACTCAGGTGTTTGATCCAAGGGGTCGTGAGAACAGATACTGCAGAGAACACACCTCAAAGACGGAGCGTTTCTATTTTCTATTTCTTCCTCTGTCATCATTTTATCATTTTTGTGTGTGAAGTAGTAATTTTTCTCACATGTCCACATGTTTGATGTGTTTGTGGATAGAAACAGAAGCAGCAGACGTTACCCATGTCTCCAGGTGTTAGCCACAGGTTGAAGGAGCTGCAGTGTTTCTGACAGCGTTGAACAGGCAGAACTCGAACTGTGGGCAGCCCCTCACCCACCACCAGCCAGCCCAGCACTCTGACGCCCTGTAACACAGGCAGCAGAGAACTTTTAACAAACCCTGAGGGTGTGATGATAGAGAGGTGTACACCACCACTGACGTCCCACAGTCTGCTACCTGACAACTGCACCTTGTGTTTCTCACTGTGTGGACGTCTGGACTCAGCTGGACTCACCTTGCTCTGGGAGTTTGTGCTGTGGGTGACCAGGCACCGCTGCAGGATGGTCCCAGCACTGTCCAGCAGGGGACAGAGCTCAGCCTTGGGGAAGAGCCACCTCAACACCTTCTCCCTGGTTCCAGAGCTGAACCTCCTGCAGAAACAACACAACACACACCGTCAATCATTAGATATCGCTGTGGGCAACACATTTATCAAACTACACTAAATATTACACATGAATCCAAGTTTTGTTTTCTGGAAACGTTTCATAATTGAACTCAATTGTGCACCAGAGCAGGGTGAAGTTGGCGGGGCCCTGAGGGAGGCCGAAGTTGTGGTTCTGCAGGCCGTCGTCCTCCTCTAGCAGAATCGACATGGACCCTGAATGGGCCAAGTAGAGCTCCTCCAGCTGCTGCCGCTGGACGCTGAGAGACTCCCCCCCCTGCAGAGACCAGCATGAACCAGAGGAATGGTTGGATGGGGGACGTGATCACACAACACTTGTCATATGACGTCATGTGGAAACAGTGCAGAGCCATTTGAAAAGTAATGACAAACATATTTCCCCTGTTAATAAGTTGTTAATCATTCACATTTAAAAAAACATGTGAGATAAATGTATTTTGTATTCTTTAAAGATGCTGTTTGCAAAGTTTGCACCCATGTTGTGACATGAGGGGGCCTGACTGTGGCCGTGTTGATCACTGACCTTCAGCAGGACCAGCTGTGGCCCCCGTCGCAGATTCACCGTCCCTCTAAGGCTCTCTGGGACCTCCAGCACAGAGGAGATCTCTGCACAGCCCGAACAGTTCACCAGACTGTGCCTGAGCGAGCCGGCACTCCACCATTCATGGAAACCTGCAAAAACCACACATTTACTACAATCAAACTACTAAAGTCTTAAATTGCCCATATTTTGTTTATTTACAAGTAATTTGAGGGTCAACTATGACGGGTTAACATGCTTTAATGTTTAAAATATTCATTATTTTTCACATACATGCTACAGTGCCTCTTTTCTCCCACTGTGTGAGATGCCTGTTTTAGCTCTTGGCCCTAAAAATGCCCGGTCTGCTGTAGTTGGTCACTTTTTGTGTTTGTTCAACCGCTTAACGTGTCAGAGACCAAACTAAAAAATGTATTAAACTTTTTATTCTTTAGATACAAATGACATTGTCATTAGGGGAAAATATGTATGTGTGGTTTTATATGTGCATCTGTGAGAGTTATTGGAAACAGAAATATTGAGTGATCATGTTCAGACCTTGCAGGTTGTACTTCTTGGCGATGGGCAGAGACAACAGGCGAACGTGGCTGAGGGGCGACGACCAGTTGTAGCAGCCCAGGTTGACCAGACCGAGCTGGGGGGAAGTCTGAGGGTAGGTGAAGGCCAGCACCACCACCAGCAGGAAGCCCACTGCCACCACAAACTGCAAAGACAACAGGGACATTACCAACACAGACAGACGAGTCCTTCCTCAGAGCACAGACAATTATGAGTAAACCTTAATTATCTGTATTCTCTATGACAAATAAATGATTTGTTTTAGACAAAGAATATAATATAATTTGTATTTTCTAGAAATAAATTCATCTCACAGTTTGATAAAACATGACTGCTGTGCTGCAGACAGAGGGGGAAAACTTTGTACCAAAGCATAACATGGGTCTTTCAGTCATAAAAGGTTACTCCTGTCTGACAAACACGTAAAAACTAAAGAGAAATTAATTAAAAACAGGCCTGACCTTGATGGCAGCTCTCAGGATGGGGAACTGCGGGGGCTCTCTCCTGGGCTCGTTGGTCTCCAGGACCTGCTTGATGAACCTCTCGATCTCCCTCTCCGACATGCCGTAGCGGTAGCCCGACTGGCGGAGGATGTCTATGCTCTCGGACAGTTTGTCGTAGATACATGGCTCGCTCATCGTCGTTCCCATGGCAGCAGCTTCAATAACAGCGGCGGTGTCGGCAGCTTCTTGGTCAAACTGATCAATCTTCAGCCGCTTCGGGATCTAGGAGCATGGTGTACCCTGTGAAGTGATCTGAGATGTTAGCTGACACATCATAACTTTCAACACCAGCTGATTATCATAGCTAGGACACTTCTGTACTGATAAACTGCTCCGTGATATTTATTAACCCTTTCCTCGCTCGTTGTCCTTTTGCAGAGAGGGGAAGGTTGTATTTACTCTTTACTCTAAGATAGTTTTCATGTCCTTGGCTTTGAAACACAACCAAATATTGTGGTTTCCTGTTTGCCAACCAGACAGAGCATGAAAGAGAGAAAAAGATTTTTCAATGTAAACATAACGTACAACATAACGACAGAACATGACTGTGAAGGTGGGTGCTGCACAGGACGACTGGTGACCGAGGTGCAGTTTACACATGTGCATGTAACTAAATAAATAAAAGTGACCATGACTGAGAATAATGAAGAGTATACTAAACAGATTATATATGTATATATTAAATGTAGATAGAGCAATTGTCACTGAGCAACTAGTGAAAATAAAAGTAGTAGAGCTAGTACAAATAGTACTTAAGTGCTCGAGTATGTATAATATATATTACAGCAAAGAACACTGTCACTGTCGAGATGAAGTGAAATACAACTTGATAAGTCATACATGAAAATACATTTTTTATATTTCCTCCTTCATTCACAGCTTTTCTTTGCAGTAAATCATTTGTGGACGTGTGAACCGAAACAAACCAAAGTGAACTGATAGAAATAACGAGGCCGGAAGTTTAGTTCACGGAGTAAAACTCACAAGTTTATTCGGAGACGCGTGATGTCGTTACGTGTGAGACGGGTTTTTTTTTTTTTTTTTTTTTTTTAAAACGTCACTCGCCGGTTACGTGAAAACAGTCGAGATGAAATAAAGTAACGCGATCGTTACATTAACGAAGGTTTCACCGCAACAACGCAAGTTGTCACCGGAGTCACAGAAACCAGCAGAGCAGCTGCGTCTGGAGCACTGACAGCAGTCAACTGACAGGTTAGCTTGTGATGCTAGCCCCGGCTAACGCTCTCGGTTCCCGTCCGGAAACAAACTCCGGACACGAAGCGCGGATCTGACCTCAGAGGGAGATCCGCCGCCGCCGAGGAGGCGCTCGTCTCTCTCCTCGCGGACTCAAATCAACGCGTTTTAAAGGAAATCAAATAAGTTGCTAACTACCGAGCATGGCTGCCACAGTCCGACGGTGCTCTTCTTCTCCTTATGTTTTTTTGGTAGTTCTGACGCCTAATGTTACTGCCCCCTACTGGATGAAACCGTGACTACAACAAGCGCAAATCATGTTCTGGAATATAAACTCAAATGTTGTTGAATTAAATCTAAAATACATGCAAAGATAGCAACTGTGGATACTGTTTATAAATTGTAAACAAAAATAACACACATAAACGATATAAATATGACATTTATATGAATCATTTACGTTTTCTTACGTCATTTTTTTCATTTTGTTTACTAAAAAAATGGTAATATTGAGCCGGACACGCATAAACCAAGGTGATTTAGTCTGTTTATATAAAACCTAATACATTTAATCCCACATTAAAGTGACCTGTGCCCGTTTCCGGTTCTTGTGCAACTGAAATATTGCGTTGACCTCGAGTTGAGTCAAGCTGCAGCATGGATGAGAACATGTTCCGGGAACTCCACTAAAATAAAACTGTGATGGGGGTTTTAAAAATGCATAAAAACAGGAAATATAAAATCACAGTAAATACCATGGGAAACAGCTATACACCGTACAACAGAGGTATTAAAATACAACAATCAGAAACCAAACAAACATCAGATTCAAGCAAATTAAAGACAATAAATCCAGTAAATGACAAAACAAATACAATGAGTATGCGAGGAGTGTGCGACAATACCAAAGTCAATTAAAAAGCCAAATGTCTTTAAATACCTTGTCTCAATAATAATCAGGCAGGATAGGTCGTTTTAATGTTTATTTATATTTAATCATTATTCTAGTTTGATGTTTTGTTGACAGTGTTTTATTGTGAAGGGGCAGGTCGGAAGTGTGTGTTGCTTCTCCTCCGTCGCTTTGACGTGGACGAGTCTGAGCAGCGTTACTCAAACTAAATCAAACTTCTCCACGTTCTCATCTTTCTTTTTATTCCCTCGTCGTCTTCTCAGAGTTTCCTCCGCAGGAACCAGCCGCTTCAGCAGCTTCCACCCGGTTTACTCTCGGCTGCGGTCCGCTTGTTGTTGTTGTCGTCGTCGTCTCTGGAGGGTCAAGCGGGTCTCCAGGTGAAAACCAGCCCGCCTTTGAGATGCTTTCCCCGGGCAGGGCCGTCTCCTCCCGGCTGCTCAGGCCGGCCGCCTGGTTCCCTCTGCGGCTGGGCTCTGAGGGGAGAGCCGCCAGCTCTCTGCAGAAAGGTAACATCAAACTAGCCCGTGTCTGAGGCTCAGATCAGCAGCTAGCATGAAGCTAATCCCAAAGTGACGCAGTTTAGAGAGGAGACAGAAAACTTCTCAACGAACAAACAGAGGAATGAGATGTTAGATAAAGACACGTGAGAGATAAGGGACTACTATGAACTCATTGATCAATGGTGTTAACAAACCTGCCTTATTATTTTAAATGGCTCCAGCTCTGTTTTACAAATAGTTTTGCCTTAATGTACCTTTTTCATTTTGTTTAGTTATTTACAAATGTGCACGTTTTATGTGTTTTCCCTGAATATCTTCAGGTTTGAGTGATGGGACCTGACCAGTGTGACTTATTGTGGGAATAAAAACAAGAGAAACGTCTGTTGGTATAGATCAATATATTTAAGCTGCACCACAGACTAGAGAGTCCTGATTAACAAAACACTTGGAAGATCTATATTATAAGGACATTTTTATCATCATGATAAACAGACATTTTATATTTTATATTAGCTGCTCCCACGAATCAATATTGATTGGTTGTCTAGTCTTTATTCCAACATTGTGCAGTGGTTCGTTCAGTAAGTACTCATTGTTTCAGTCCAGGATCATGCAGATCTGACTAAACTCTCGTTGTTGTGCTGCAGAGATGATAAAGAAACATGAACTGGAGAAAGATGAGCTCCGCCCCCTCTACATGGATTTCCAGGCCACCACTCCCATGGTAACAGTCATGTTTTCATGGATGCAGTAAAAGTTAGATTCAGTGGAAGAGTTATTTACTCACTAATGCGTGTTTTGCAGGACCCCCGGGTGTTGGACGCCATGTTGCCCTACCAGGTGAATTACTACGGTAACCCTCATTCCAGGACACACGCCTATGGCTGGGAGAGCGAGAGCGCCATGGAGGTTGCCAGGAAGGTAGACGGACAATCATTTCTTTTTTGTAAAGGTTGTAAATAACATTTGATTTTGATCGTGTTCTTCATTCCATGAAGACTAAGTTTGATAGAGCGTCATTGACTGTGTTCTCTCTCTTTCTCTCCCTGAGCAGCAGGTAGCTGACCTGATTGGTGCTGATCCCAGAGAGATCGTCTTCACCAGTGGAGCCACAGAGTCCAACAACATGGCGATCAAGGTCTCACTCTTCTCCTCTTCATCACTTCTTTGTTCCCTTCTTCATCACCTTGTCCTTCCCCTCCTCTCACCACTACCCCCCTCCTCCATTTGTTTTGCTTATCGATGAGAACAGATCGAGAGCAGAGTGAGTTAGCAGAGGAGAACAAAGTCTGATCACACTGAGAACACTGAAACAAATGAGGATGCAGGAAGAAGAGAGAAAGAACGTAGCTGCAAATACAGATTGAGAGCAAAACGAAAACACCCTATAAACAACATGAGAAGAAGAACTGAAGTAGGACTCATTAAAAATTAGAACAATGTAAGAACACAATGCGAACACTTGAAAGTGCCCTAAGAACACAACAGGAATTAAGGGAGAACAGCTTGAGAACAAGTGACTACACCATATATACACTAAATACTATATGAGAACATATTCATAACCCACTGAGAATACGTGGAAATTGATTGAGAACAGTAAAAGAACAAATAAGGACACTAAGTATGGGAATGAAAAAGAACCGAATGAGGATGCAGTAAGAACTATTGCAATAACAACAGAAAAAAACAAATGTGGGTGCATTTATAACAGAATCAATACTGAACAGAGTGAAAAACAAATGCCTGAACGCTGTGAGTACAAATTAAAATGCAGTAAGAAGCAAACAAGACAGAGCTGGAACCAGTTTTATGAGACAACACCTCTTTGTCTCATGCAGGGTGTGGCCAGGTTCTACCAGGCCAAGAAGCGTCACGTGATCACCACACAGACAGAACACAAATGTGTCCTGGACTCTTGTCGAGTTCTGGAATCAGAGGGATTCAGCATCACTTACCTGCCAGTCCAGCAGAACGGACTGCTGGACCTGGAGGTACACACACAGAACCCACACACAGAACCCACACACAGAACCTACACACAGAACCCACACACAACATACACACAACATACACACAGAACTTACACAAGAGTCAACATTTGCACAGAACACACACAAGAGTCAACATACACACAGAATTTACACAAGTCAACATAAACAATGTACTGGGCATTTTTAAAACACACCGTGTGCATGTTTTCAGCTGCTTGAGGCCTCCATTCGTCCTGACACATGTCTGGTGTCGGTGATGACTGTCAACAACGAGATTGGAGTCAAGCAGCCTATCAAGGAAATCGGTAACTATCACAACACATCCATGTTGTTTACTCCCCATTTCAATGAGTTTAAATAAATCAAATCGCTGTGACCATGTTTATATGTTACTCTGATCAAAACTGTTGTCTCATTGGATTTTCCTCTTCCTGCTCTCAGGTCAGATGTGTCGCTCTAGAGGAGTCTTCCTTCACACCGATGCTGCTCAGGCTGTCGGAAAGATTCCCGTCAACGTCATCGACTGGAAGATTGACTTGATGTCCATCAGTGGTCACAAGATCTACGGACCCAAAGGTTAGATTAGCAGTTATTGGGTTGTGGGTTGGGCAGATCCACCCATACCTGTAAGTTTGATTGAGACAATGTCTGTGTGTGTGTGTGTACAGGTGTGGGGGCTTTGTATGTGCGTCGCCGGCCTAGGGTGCGTCTGGAGCCGCTGCAGAACGGGGGCGGGCAGGAGAGGGGGCTGCGCTCCGGTACTGTCCCCACCCCACTGGCTGTCGGGCTGGGAGCTGCCTGCAGCATTGCCCAGCAGGAGATGGAGGTAAAACAAACACAGTCAAACACACCAAGTCTCAGTAAATAAACCCAAATATCCTAATGAAAGTTTGTGTGTGTGTGTTTGTGTAGTATGATCATCACAGAGTGTCCATGTTGGCTAATCGTCTGGTCCAGAAGATCCAGTCTGCCACACCTGACGTTATAATGAACGGAGATTCACAGCAACGTTACCCAGGTACACACACACACACACACACACACACACACACCACACCACACCACACCACACCACAGTCTTGCTTCAATTTCAACTAAACCTTTGACAAGTCCAACTTAATGTTATAGGTTTTCAGTTTTATAGATGAGACAGATGAACTTATCTGTTTGTGTGTTTCAGGCTGTGTCAACCTGTCCTTTGCCTATGTGGAGGGAGAGAGTCTGTTGATGGCTCTGAAGGATATCGCTCTGTCATCTGGCAGGTCAGATACACTCTCCATATGAACAGGGGCGAAGCTTGTGAAAATATAAATTGACTCTTTCAAGATGAATTAATATTTGTGTTTGTCTCAATGGACAGTGCATGTACGTCAGCATCTCTGGAGCCCTCATACGTCCTCAGAGCAATCGGAGCAGATGAAGACTTGGCTCATTCTTCCATCAGGTATAAACACTGGTCGTCCTCGCTGGAATCAGATCGTAATGACAATCCTGATAATCATCCAGATTAAAATCTTGAAAGTAACTCAGTCTAATTTTAATCAACTTGATTTGTCAACTCGGTGAAACAAAATTTCTTCTTGTCCAGAGTATAAATTATGATCCTGCTGATCATCAAGATTCTAAAGAAGTTTAAATTCATTTGTTTAAAAAAAAAAAAAAAAGCAGTCAAAACAAAAATACATTTGTTAAGATCGTGTTTGTGTACAGTCACTGAACGTGCATTCGATGTGTCACATTTCAGACTCACATACAAGAAGAAGTCCTTTTATTTTCTTTGTGTTTTTCAGATTAATCTCATTCAGATTAATTTGAACCTGTGCTTGTTTGTCAGGTTTGGTATTGGCAGGTTCACCACAGAAGAAGAAATCGACTACACGGCAGAGAAATGTATCCAACAGGTCACTAGACTCCGAGAGATGAGGTGAGTTCACCTGGTTTGTTTCCAAACTCACTTCTCATATTTCTTGAGGAGCCTTTCTTCCTCTAAGTGATGTGATCTTGTGTTTAGTGAACACAGTTGTATTAATACTCAGAAATGATGAGCATGGTACTTTGGAACTTACTCATTGACTTATACTTACAGTACATTAACGTAATATTATGGTAAACACCCATTAACTTTTGTGTCTGTGTCTGTCTGTGTCTTTATGTCAGTCCTCTGTGGGAGATGGTTCAGGAAGGCATCGACCTGAAGAGCATCAAGTGGACGCAGCACTAGACTCCTCCCACTACTATTTCCCTGCCTAGCTGCTGACAACAATGATAGCAGTGGTTATGATGGTTCCCAGGGAATTCTGGGGACGGACCAGCTTTTATTCTTCCCGTACACAAACACGCACAATCTTCCTGTCTGACTTGAAGTCTGTTTGTAGCTGTAGCTCTGTTGATGCTCCTGTAGTTGCTGTCGGGAGACGTTGCTCAGAGAGTTGAGCGACAACCACTTCTTGTTGTGATCATTCTGTTGTAAATCAGTCAACCTGGCGCTCATCAAGTTGAATTCTGTGTGTTGACTGAAAGGTTGTCAGAGGCCTGCATCATTAATCTGATTTCTTTGGGTCATCTGGTTTTAACTTCAGTGGTGATGTTGATGATGATGGTTTTTATTTGGCACCTTTAGCTCAGAGTTTACTCAACCAGCTTTGATTCACACATATTTATGTGCACGAGCAGGAGGTCTTGGTGATGATATGACATGAAACTGTGATACACATATATACATTTTATATTATTTACAGCCAGAGATTTCAAGTTGAGGTGTTTAAAGCAATGCTACAGGAGTTGTGGGATTTATTGAAAAGGCATTTAAATATGTTCAGTATTTTCACACGATCAGAAGAGACATCTTTGCTTTTTTGTCTCATGATGAACAAATAATAATAATAATATTATGTGCTAACACCTTTATTCAGATTGTTTTTACATATGTCAAGAACTACAAGACCTAAAGAAAAGTGTTATATTTAATCGCAATCACATTTAATCATCATCATGTCAGTGTAACATCCAATCAAACAGGTTTAGCAGCTGCATTTTGAGGCAGTGATTTCACCCCAGCAGCTCGTCTCTAAGATGATGAAGATAACTTCAGTCCCTCACATACTCACTGCCGTGTGTCTGACATTGATCCGGAGACTCTGAACATAAAAACAAACTGATGGAATCCCTTGATAAATGTCTGGGAGGATTTAAATTATTTGTGTTCCTTGATGTTGTCAGCTGAGCCTCTCACTTATACTCATAGACTCCATTACTGTTACTCTCATCATTTATATTGTTACTCAATAAACTGCTGCTTCTTGGTTATGCAATAAAATTCTGTCTTATTTTTATTAACTATTTGTTCTCGAACAGACAAGTACATTTAATGGAAAAATTGCAACACACATTCAATTTTATAGTACAGCCTGTGGTATTTTGCAACACTGGTCCATAGAAAGGCCTTAATACAAATACAACATAAAGCACAATATAATAATAAAAACAACTAAATAACATGCATGAAATTAAATAATTTATGAAAAGCACCTGGATTATAATTAACAATAAGTGTTAAAGTACTGTCTGACTTCAGTTTGACCACAGGAGCATTGGTGATGTTCAACACTGATATTGGGCAAGAAGATCTGAATACGTCCTTAAGTCAGACTTCCATCGCTCATTTCCTCCCACCAGATGTGCGGAACCGGACTTCCTGTGATATGATGATACTTGATATTGAAAATGAGCTTTTGATTGCACTGGGCCGCTCCTTCAGGAAACATGTCGCAAGTCGTTCCTTCCTGCAGCAGAATGACTGTAACAGCAGCTCAGCTCCCATTATACACTCTAACTCTGGTTTAAGGTCCAATGTGCAAGATTTCAGAGAAAGGGATCTACAGAAATTAATATAAAATAATCCTTGTGATGTTTTCACTAGTGTGTTTCTCTGAATTGCACTAATTGTTGTTTTTCTTTACCCTAGAATGGACCTTTTATATTTGAATAATACATCAAATCAGAGCAGTAAACTAATGATAAACGAATCATAACTTATGTCAAAAATTATTTTATTTTCTCATCTACCAGCCTATGTACCTCTGACGTCACGGGACCGCTGCTCTCGCGTCATCACGTCAGTTCTCGCGACGCTAGCTCCGACATTAGCAGCAGTCGCAGGCTGCAGAAAGGAGCAGCAGCAGAGACTGAGGCCTCCGGTTCCTCCGGTTCTTGAGCTGAACCTCAGGGTGTTTGTGCACAAATCTCTCGGTAAGAATCTGGCGCTCAGTGACGCACTCGCACCGGGAGCCGAGCGCGAGAGAAGCCGTCAGAAGCGCGCACCCTGGCCGCTGCTCCGCTCCCACACACACACACACACAAAGCGAGGCTCAGCAGCAGCTAGGTGGCTAACAGATAGCGAGCCCCGCTCAGGCAGCAAAGATGTGCTAAACGGGCTTTGATCAGGTAGTTAGCTACGAGTGCAAGTCTCTCACAGTTTGACATGTGTTTAATCGAAGCACTGCTTGGTGAAATAATCAGGCAGGTTCTGTTTAACGTGGGTTTTTGTAAAAAGTTGCTAGCTTCAGCTAGCTAGCTAGCCGACTCATTGTAAAGGTTTTCATGTGATTTTTCAGCGCAGATCACTTTTCTCGATGTTTCGTCACCGGATGTAGGCAGGAGGTGTTTGACTTTGATCTCAGTTCACACAAATTCAGGTTTTTGTAGTTTTTAGCAGCACACCAGGAGACCACAGACCACGCCCCCGGGCCATGACGTCACGCACCCTACAACGTCATCAGCTGAGCATATGGACTGTTGACAAATATGAGTGACAGTTGTCATGGAGACAGTCTGGGCTGCTGTCAATTGGTGGTCGAGGGTGACGTTGACATGAAGTCTGCAAAACAACGGTTTCAAATCAAAGCTTCGCAAGTTACTCTGAAGAACCGCAGCATGAACAGATCCTTAGAAAATCATCATCAGGAGCAAACGGATGAAGACCTGCTCCTGGTGATTGTTTTAAATGATAAGTTGAGAAATCCACAGCCACCGTCTTTGGAGTACCTTTACTGATCCTTGTGTTGAATATTTGTGGGGTCTCCTAGTTTACGGAACAAGCTCTGACACTGTGACTGCCTATAATTTATAAAGCTTCTTTATTTAGTGAACAAATAATCGATAAAGTATTTCATAGTTCTATAGTTTCAACAGAACCATTTTAAATGTAGCTGCACATCTATAGAGGACATGGAAGGACACGATGGGATAAAGCAACAATTTTGCCACTTTTAAGCTCAGATATTAGCTCGTTGCAGTAAGGCGCAAAAGTTTTAAGCTCCATAAATAAAGACGGAATGCTTTAAAAAAAAAAATCCTTTAACAGCTAACATTTTTAATTAATTAATTAATTTTATACTAAGAGTATAAAAAAAAATCAATGTTAGCTGTGACTGTTATTTCCCTTTCCTTTGGTGGATTTAGTTTTTCTCATTATCCTTTGTGTCTTCATTAAATCCCAGACTGACTCCATGAAGATCGGGGCTCTGTGGGGGTCAGATCTGTTGCAAGACGTGTCTGTGAAGATTATTCTTGGCTATTTGAATTGTTTAGGTCTTACGCGGCAGAATAAATACAGCACCTAAACATTTAAAGTGTCTAAAACATTGGTACAGTACCATATGTTACCTCTGGTAATTGACTATATTTTAAAGAATATAAATGCCAAAGACATTTTTGAAACACTGTCACCATTCTATAGTTTGTCACCTCAGAGTTGTGATCAAATTTATAGATCTGTAAATAAATTTTAATAGTACGTCATTCATTTATTAGACAGGAGATACTATACACTTTCAGTCTGGCTTATTGCTAGACTATTTTTTTGATTTAATATTTATTTTTGCTTATATGGTGTATGCATTCTAACTATAGGGAGTGAACAAGATGGAAAGCTGAAAATGTATGGAGACTAATGGTTTGATTTTATGAATTATTTTTACACCTTGGGGCAAATAATTTTAACAGATTAAAAGACATGAAATATTATATACTAAAAACATTTTAAAAACCCTTTCTCTGTTTTTCAAAGTGACCTTTTTCTTAATTCTTCTGATTATGTATTTTTATTTATTGTTGCAGGTCCGACTTCATCAAATTTTTCTTGTTTGCATAAAAGTTTCTGGAGTTTCTTAAGACATGAGACTGACGAAGGGGCTGTATTTGAGTCAGTGAATCATTCCTCGTTTACTGAGTTTGATGCTGTTTTCTGTGTCCGTTGTGTTTTCTCTTTTTGGATCTCAGTGCAGGTCAGTGGATCTCTGACAGTTGTCGGGCTGTTTGCTCCAGACCTCATCACTCCAGATTATGTACCATTGTTCTGTTAAGGTTGGCTCATCCTTGTTCTAAAAGCAGTTTTCTCTTTGTGTGAGTTGCAGGCCGTTGATGGCGTCCCACTTGTTTCGCTCTGTTACACATTTTGCTGTTTTTTTGAAGTTGATGACAACATTTGGGAAATCAAGGTGGTCTTCTGCTTTTTATTTCTCTCTGGTTTTCTAGCAGTGATGGAGTTTTTTCTCAGTTTCCTTTGTGATTCTTTGTTCATGTGAATGCAAACTGCAGCTTCAGTGAAACCCTTGTACCTCACCTTGGATACTCTGGCTTTCTCTCTGACTTTTATTTGCTGTTGCCGTTTCCTGACTTGAGTTTTAACCTCTTGCTGCTGTTGATGCTTCACAGACTTGATGCAGGCTGACACTCAGGAGAGAGGAGGAATTGCCAATCATATCTCCACGTTGGTGTGATTTGTCTGTTGTGGTTGACCTGATGAGGATGACGATGTTGATCTTGTCATACTTTGTGTTGAAAGCATAGACTGTACGTAAAGATGGATGACACTTCTCTTATTAAGACTGAAGTAACCAGAAAAAATCAGCACTCGGACATACATCAGTGTGATAAGAACTACCTAAAATCTTTGAGAAACAAAATCGATGTGATGTGTTTTAAATTTTTTTGTTTGGTCCATGTTCCACCCACTAACATGGAGGAGGCAGGTTTTTTTTTTTTTTACCTATACCACCCCTGGTGGCAGTTGAGTTGCTTTGGCCTCACTTTTGGGGAGCTGTCGTGTTCACCATCTTTATACAGTCTATGGTTGAAAGTTGTGAGCTCCAGGTAACTGCCTGAAATAGATCAGCATTTTAAAATGTAAATGTTGTATGATATTCATCCAGTACCATAATATATAGAGTTGTAGTCAAGGATCACAGTTAAAACCTAAAAACTTGAGGATGTTGTCTGAGACATAATTTTACCACCAGTGATGAGACAGAGGACTGTTCAGTTGTTTTTTTTATCAGGGTTGCGCCTCTCTTCTGTTTGCTTTCTCTTCTGATCTGCTTCTATCTTTGGTGCTGGCCACCAGTTGCTGATGTTGCTCTGGTTTAAATAATGCTAATGTTGCTCTGGTTTATTACTGCTCATGTTGCTGTGGTTGATATAATGCTAGTTTTGCTCTGGTTGACACTATGCTAATGTTGCTTTGGTTTACATGTACCCGACATTGCTTTTGTTAAAATGTTGGATGATGTTGCTTCTCCTTCTTTTGTTGACAAGTTACTGCTGTTGCTCCTGTTGACATGTTGCTAATGTTTGTTGACAATGCATTGCAGATTTTGTGGTTGACACTTTGCTCGTGTAGTGGTATGCTACAACCAGTTGCTGAAATGCTTTCGGCTGATTTGGTGCTGCTTAAGGATTCAAGAAGCAGCTGGATCGGTGCTGCTCAATCGTGTGGTGTTGCTGGCTGCTGGATAGACATAGGTTGCCTGGTGGTTGTTTGGTGTTTGCCATGTGGTTGCTGGCTGTTTGTTGAGATCATTGGAAGCATTTATAGTGCAGCATGTCTTATCCTTTTTACTACTTTGCTTATTTTGAGGTCAATTCAAGTCTAGTAGAGTCTTGATATTTGGTGTACACAGTCAGCTTCAGTCTTTTTTGTCAGGTGTGTCTGCAGTCAGCTTTGAAAGCTGCAGCAGTCTGATTATGAGATGTGGTCATCATGCTGTTAGTTTAGAAGTTTTGTTTACTTGTAAAATTCTTGAGTTTTGCCGTTTACATCACACAACACTTAAATATTCAACACTTTGAGTCTTAATGAGAGACAGTTATTCACACTGACGAAGCGCCTGCCAACTGCTGAAAACGCCAAGTGACACTGGAAGTTAATGTAAAATTTACTGTCGGTCTGTTCTGTAAAAGGTTAAATCCATTCAAGATGTCTTGAACAGGAATGTTTGTTCTCTGACTTTTTCACCAGGTTTCAGTGTCCTACAGAAA